AACAAGATAAAATTTCAGATGTTGATAGATGCTTAAGGAAAAAAAAAACAGGATGATATAATAGAATGATGTGCACATTGGGGGAGATGAGATGGTCGAGGAAGGTTTACATGAAAGATGACATTTGAGCTGAAAGTTGAAAATTGAAGACACAGCCTATTGAGCCTTGAAAAGAAGAAAATTTGGGTCTACGTGAAGGGCAAAAATGAGACCAGTATGACAGGTAGTAAGTGTAGGAAGGATTTCTGGTACAGACCTACTATTAATTAGAAAAAAGTCAGAGAACCTAATAGAAAAACAGCCAAGAGACTTAAACAGGTATTTCACAAAAGAGTTAATCCAAATGATCCATAAATATGAAAAGGTTCTGAAACTTAAGAGTCATAAAGGAAATGCAAATTAAAAGTACAATGAGATACCACTTTAAACTTATCAGCAAAGTCAATGTTAAAAGGACTAACATGCCAAGTGTTAGCAAGAATATAAACCAACCTGAACTCTCATACACAGCTGGTTGGGTTGCCAACTGGTATGTCGACTGGCAATTTGCTTTTCACTATCTACTAAGTTTGAACATATGTACTTCTAGGTATATATATGACACAAATATCTATATCTAATATCTTATCTACCTATCTCAATAGATAAGTTCAAGATATGCTCAAGATTTGTAGCCAAAAACTATAAATTCAAATATCTGTAAACTGTGGAACAAAAAAGTGAAATAAAATACGATATAGCAATAAAAATGAACAAACTCCTGCTACATAAAACTTGAATCTCAGAAACATACCAAAAATCTTGATTTAAAAAATACATATTATATGATTCCATTTAAATAAAGTTTTAAAGCAGGTAGAACTAATTTGCAGTGTTAAAAGTTAAGATAGCAGTTAGCTCTGGATCTAAGGGATCTAGATTGAGAGTGGCCATGAGGTAGCTTCTCTGGGGCAGGCAATGTTCTTCAAGGGTCCTAATAACTGTGACAGATAATGAGTGAGAGGAAGAGATTCATCTTTACCCTGAATGTAGTTATACAAGTACACTTACTTTGGGATAATTTGTGAGCTGTTCATCTACAATCTTCACACTTTTTTTGTATGAATGGTATAATTCAACAAAGTATATATTTTAAAAACACATTACATTACAGTAAAAAGAACAGATTTGAGAAAAGAGATAATGTTTTGGTCTTGGGTAGAAGTAAGGCTCTAAGAAAAGTGGACTGATTCCATATGTTTTAGAGGTGAAATAGGTAGAACTCACTGATACAGGGAATAAGAGAAAGGTAGTGATCAAGACTGACCAAGTAACTGGATCAAAGTTGGTGACTTTTATGTTTCCAGAAAAACAGAACAGTTGCTTGTATTAGATATTGCTTAGGATTCGAGTATGGAGAATAGAGAAATTGACACTGGATTTTAACATGGAAGTCATTGGTGATCTATGAACAACATTAGGATAGTGGAAGAGATGAAATCCTTATTGAAGCATGCTAAACTGAAATTATGAAGCAAGTAGAGAAAACAATTTTAGCCAACTCTGAGTAGGTTTCTGCTTGGTTTTTTCTTTTTTCCCCTTTTGTGAACTAGGAGGACAAAAATGCAAAGAAAGAAAAGAGCAAGGCGGAAAGTGTTGTGAGATCAGAGCAAGTTATTACATATATTATACAAATGGTTGAAGAAGAATCTGGTATAAAAATATAAGCTTCACTTACTTAATAGTCTTGGTAGAAGATTAGGCCTCATCTACCATAATTTGCCTTTCCCTGCCACCCCAGAATCAGAAACCACTTTTTAAGAAACCTCTTGATACATTACTTATACAACGAATAGTCATTTTTTTCCTATTCTTTAAGTTTTGCTATGTGTAGGGAAGGAAGTTCCCATTTTTCTGTTCATTTCTTTTGCTTTGACAGCTTTATTGAGATATAATTCACATACCACAAAATTCACCCATTTAAAGTGTACAATCAGTTCTTTTTATGTCCTGGGTTCCTTAATGATGTTCAAGTGTTGTCTGGTACTAAATAACATTCAGCATGAACCAAAAAATGTTTTGGAAACAACACAGAGAGATATTTTCCTTCTAAATTTTTATTTTAATGATCAATTTTAATTTAAAAAGCATTGTACAAAACAAGATTTTAGAAAAAAACAAGAAAAACCATTTCAAATTGATATGCAGGGAAGGACTCATAGTAACATTTTGAGGAGTGAAGTTTTTTGTTCTTAACTTTAGGAATCATCATTATTCTATATATATGTTTCTGGATACATGACAAAATTAACCCTTACAAGTTCAGACTACTATTTATCTTTCCAATTAATTGAGGCCAAGAGCATTCCTAACAAATATAGGCTTGATCCCTGATTTCTTGCATTTGAGTTGCCGATTCTTAAAGGAAATTATGTAGACAATGCCTATTGGTACCACTACACGTTCAAAGATTCCAACCTCAGAGGAGCTGTTAGCACATCTTCAAGGCTATCCTTTTTATGTATTCTTTCTCTTTCCTCTTGCATCTGCACAGTGATCATTCTAAATCTTTACAAATAAATCCTACACCATCTTCCTCATTCTTAAAAGATAAACCTGCCTCCTACTTTACAAGGAAATTTCCATCACTTCTTATCATAATACCTAAAATCTTACCTAAAACTGCTCTCTTTTGCTGCAGTTTTAGACCCTGATTCTATTTTTTTGTTGTTTTTTTGTTTTTGGTTCTGAAATAGTTATTGAAGGTTTGCTATGAGCCAGACATAATGCTTAGGCAAAGACAAAATCCCTCTCAAGTAATGTTAAGTATTAAGTATTAGAAGACAAATACAGAATGTTATGCAAGCAGATGTGGTATACTAAGGCTCTAGGTAGAGGGTGTTAGGCTAGGTTTAGGTGATGACTAAACCAATCCCAAAAATGGTAAGTAGGGGTCAAAATTCCTATGATGTGCCCCCAGGACTCTTAATTACTTTATATACTACTTAACACATCGTATTATAATTTATTTGATGAAGTCCTCTACAAGATAATGAAAATCTACTTAGGGCAAGGTTCATATCTATCTTGTTAACCACTGTATCCCAACATCTAAAAAAGTTCCAGTCAAAGAAAAGCACTGAATATTTAGAGTATTTTAAAATAATGGAAATAACATGAACTTCAGAATTAAGACTGGCCCAGGCAGTGTTGATATTTAACAACCAGGATGGCTAAGTGTATCAAGTGAATATCTTCTTCTGTAGCTCTGGATTTAAATTCTGGCTCCATTTCCTGAGATTTTTAAATTAAGGCAAGTCAGTTAAAGGGTCTGAATATCACTGTATCATCTGAACATGTTGATCATAATAATACTTAATTCATGGTATTGTTAGTGATAAAATGAAACAGCATATAAAATAACCCATTTCAGTACCTGATACACTAAAGACATATAATAAATGTCTGATTTCCTTTCTACACTGCTTTTAAGTGAGTTCTATTTGTAGTTGGATAGAAAATTAAAATATGCAGAAACCAAAGCAGAATGAGTGGTACTCTAATTATTTCATCCTTCCTTAATGATTTTTCTCAAGTGCTCAACTTAAATAATTTAGTTTACTTCTAAACTTTAAAGCAGTTTGTTTGTTTATTTATTTATTTACTATTTTTGAGAGAGAGAATGCGCAAAAACACACAATGGTGGGCGGGGGGTGGGGGGGCAGCGGGAGAGACTCTTAAGCAGGCTACACCCCCCAGCACAGAGCCCCACCAGGACCCTGAGCCTAAACTAAGAGTCAGACACTTAACCGACTAAGCCACCAGGTTGTCCCTGCTTCTAAACTTTAAAATGCATTTATCCTTAATCTTCTCTGTGATATAAGTTTAACATTCGCTGTTCATTCATTTACCTAATTTATAAATTTGTGCCTATATGTCAACCTTAGATTAAACTTAATGATTCAACAGAAATTTATTAAGAGCCTATTATCTGTGCAAAATTGTAATTTAGCTTTATCATTCACGGACTAGTCTATGCAGATACTTCTGGATAGATTCTGGCTGAATAAATGCTCCAAGATGCTTAATAGATATTCTCTTTCCTTTTTCTTTTGTCTTAATAATGAAGATAACTAATGAATTTCATCCAAAATCAGAAATCAAAGTTGAATGGAAAGAGCTTTCAGCAGAATTAAAAACTGGTATCTTTTGCAGCAACTATATTCTTCAGTTTTAAATTTTTTTAAGGGAACAGTTAACAAATAATTAGAAATCTAATAGTGCTAAATGCTTACTTCAAATCTTAGTAATTGATCTATATGCTTTAAGTCTATATTGGTTACAAGTATCCCAGTTTATTCAGTATAGTGAGACTTGTCAGAATAAAACAACAGATCTAACAAGGATAATCACAATTAAGTTTTTCAGATAGTCTACCAAACACAATAGTGCTATAAATGGATTAGAATTATATCTGTAGGTTGAACAAAGACAGCATTGATTTCAGATGTGCTTGGTTATTTCTCCCTACACGTGCCCATTCTCAACTGACTTTTATTTAAGCTATTTGCCATAGAAGTCATATAGTTGATTTGCTTAAAGGTAAAATTTTGTTCCACTAACGTAAAGGAACAATCTTCAATTAAGTTCACCACTGCCCTTAATCACAAGACACAACAATAGAATCTCAAGCTAGTCTAATTAGAGAATTTCAATTTGTCATTCGAAATGATTTACACATTATCATTTATGTTCATTTTAGAAATAAGTGTCATAATTCTAATAAAGAGTGATGACTTTCTTACTCTGGGTGCTAGTGAGTAACTATATAATTATTGTTTCAAGAATCACTATACAAATATTGAGAAAATGAATCACTGAAGAGTTTTAAAATGAGAATGTGAAAATAGAATTTTAAATTGCATAATGTAAAACTGAGACCACGCTTCTTCAACATATCACATCTAAATTTGCAAAGTAAACATGACACACTGAGAATAGAAATAAGTTGGAATTCTTACCCTGGAAAGAAATAAGCTAAAGCTTTTTCCCAGTTTCTCCAATTTTCTATTTCTTTAGAGTGGGTGGGTCCTTTCTTCTTCTGGCCTTAGAAGAAACCCTGGATTGCCTGTCTTTCTACATGATGAAATGGAGAAGCAAGGAAGCACATTAGTTTCATAAAAGACTTCCAAAAATCTCATATCCATCCTCCACCTTACATTTAGGGCTTTCATAGCCTTGCCATCATCTTTCTGGGAAGATTGATTTCCATCTCCACTGTGGACTCCTAATATATCCTGTGCTGAAGCTTCCTGGGCTCTATTTCTTTTGACAACATGTTCATACCTAGTTTCTTTCAGAATATTTGTTGAAATCTTTTATCCACTGATGACTCCCTCTTACCTTTTCTGTGTTTATTTTTTTACTTTTTAATTGTAATTTTAATGGAAGGAAAAATAAATAAATCGGGCTGCAACCCTAACAATTTGCTTTCTTACCAATACATTGTGAACATTTTCCCATGTCATTTACTGTCTATACTATTTAAGCATAAGTATGATTTAGTTTTGAAGCTGAAGTTATATTCTTTACTCATCAATTATGTATTTAGATAGTTCTAGTGAAATTCAAAGAAAAGAGCACAGTATTTTTCCAAGATTGGAGTCACTAGATGATTCTTTGTATTTTATTAGTGATTGATTTAGAGACCTTGACTTACCTATTTTTTTTTTCTTTTGTTGCCTGTGCTTTTGTTGCCATGTCCAAAAACTCACCACCAAATCCAATGCCATGCAGCTTTCCCCTGTCTTTCTTCTAAGACTGTTATAGTGTTAGCTCTTACAATTTAAGGCTTTGATCAATATTTACTTAGTTTTTGTATATGGTGGGTAAGAGTCCAACTTCATTGTTTTGCATATGGATATTGAGTTTTCCCCAAATCAACACCATTGGTTGAAAAAACTGCCCTTTTCCCATTGAGTGGTTTTAGCATCTTTGCTGACAATCATTTGGCCACTTATATGAGGATTTGGGGGGGGGCTCCCTATTTTATTCCACTGATTTATATGTATGTCTTTACGTCAATGACATACTGTTTTGATTCTGCAGTTCTGTAACATGTTTTGAAGTCAGCAAATGTGAAACCTCGTTTGTTCCACTCTCTCAAGATTGTTTTGGATTTAGGGATTCCTTTGAAATTCCGTATTAATTTTAAGATAAATATTTTCCATTTGTTTTTTGTTTCTGAAATAATACCCATCCTAGTGGGTGTGATGTTAATAATTTTAATTCCAATCATCTATTTCCCTAATGTATTTTTTTTTCATTCCACTAGTGAGGAGGTAAGTTCAAATTTTCCAGTATTGTGTGTTTATCTCTTAATTCATATACTATAAAGCTGTTTTATTAGATGGCACACAGAGTTTTTTTTATCTTCTGGTGGAAGTAATACTTTTTTTTTCTGAAAGTCTGCTATATCTCATGGTAATATTTCATATCAGGCTACTTTCCACTTTAGCTTAGTTTATTCATGATCGATATTTTTTCATCCTTTGCTATTTTCCACAGATCTTTTATTATCAGCACATTCTTTAATCCAATATGACAGTCTTTGAGTAGTCTGTGTACATTTAACACAACACTGATATTTTTGGTTTTAAATATATCATCCTTCAGTATTCAAAGCAATAAAATGAATGTCACATAAGTCTATTTTTCCTAAATTTTTTATTAAGATATCATTAGAAGTGACCAAAATTATTAACATTATGTATTATCAATATTTAAAATTTCTATTATTTTTTCAGCAAAAATGAGACGTGAGACTGACATAATCTAGGTCATGTAGGGTAAAAGCACACTTTCTCTAACTCTTAAAGGAACATTTCACAGACATGTCATATAAATATGTCTAATGCTACATTTTATAGTTAACAATTTCCTTATTGTTCTATATTTCTTTTCTGAAAAAAGTGAATAAACCTGTCTCACAGTTTTTGTAAAGGTGAAAGATATTTATAATCTCTTAAAGATTGTTGTTGTTGCTTTTATTTTTAGAGAACAAGGATTATGGAATATTCTGCTGATTCCTTTAGTATCAAGATGAATAAAATTTTTCCCCAGGCCTCTTCCTTTTTTCCTCAACCCAAGCCATTATTTTCTCCCCAAAGATCTCCACATGCATATTTTTTTAAGTGAGTTTGCTCTACCTGGAAAACTATAATTGTCCTCTGCCTAGCTCCATAGACAAAAACATTTCTTTTCATTCTCTTGAGACTCTCTGGCCTATGTTTCATAACTTTTATAACAAATACTGACCAAAACATTAAATAGTCCCACTTAGTGAATGATATACTCTTAGTGAATGATATACTCAATATCAAAAAATAATTACATTTTTCATGAATATAAATGTTATTGGTAATTTAAACTGTATATCTGTTGCTAATAGATTCACAAGTTAAAACACAAGATTTGGTGTAGATGTAGTTATTTCATTTCCCTTTTCATCTAAACAGAACTAAAAATCAAAACTGAAAAATAATAAAAGGATAATCTGGCTTCTAAAACTCTTAGTTTTGAGCAATCACTTCAGTCACTAAGCTCAACATATCAATGATTTTCTCAATGTATAGTTAAGTATTTCCAGGTAGTTCTAGTTCTGCTTTATCTCTGATCTTTAAACTTCTATATTATTCAACACAGGTATTTCAAACCTATTAGTTCGTTTGAGATAATAAATATAACAAACTGCCTTGTCACAAAAAAAGAAACACTTCTTCAAATTGAAAATTTGAATTATTCCAGAAGAAGTACTGGTAGGATGGGATAAAGAACTTTTTTTTTTTAGCACTCTTACCAATAACATACAAGTAGCAATTCCATTCACAATTCATTGTGAAGATTTAGAAGAAGAATTAAGAATTTTGATTAGGATGATCTTTGGAGAAAAATTTTTTTCACTTTGGGCACAAAGGGAACAAAACAGCTTTGATTTCTACTAGGGAACACTTAGTGTCAAAATAATATCTTTCTGCCACATACTCTAAAAAATATTATGACACAATAATATAAAAAAATTGTGACTCAATATATTCTGATGATATCCATCATCTGGAGATACAGGATCTTCTTCTAAATGTGTTTTCTTTCTTTCTTTTTCTTTCTTTCTTTCTTTCTTTCTTTCTTTCTTTCTTTCTTTCTTTCT